TTCCCATTCTACCCATCTTGACTTCTCTAGGCTGGACTAACAATAAAATGGACAGAGTAACAAGAAAAACAGAAATTTTAATTTGTGTGCATGGAGGTCTCCTAGAAGGGGGGACCAAGAAAGTGGGCCAGAGCAGGCAGCTTTTATACTTTTTAGACAAGGAAATGATACATTTGTGAGGAATTGACAGAACAAAGAAACAGGCTTGGGTGCTTAGTTAGCGAAGAACCTAACCAGAGTCTGCACTTGGATAGTAAATTCAAGAAGACACCAGGTTTGTTCATACAGGCTTCTGGGTCCTAAATTCGTCTCGGGGGGATAGCGGCCTTCTGCCTCGGGAGTCAGGGAGGGTACCTCTCACATGGAGATTTACTGCCTGCTTTCAGACACAGACAGGAAGGTCAGAGGGGCCCTCCTGCATCAGCTCTTTCTTAAGTAACTTTAATTCAAAAAACTCAACATGCCATTGAGGCTTATTTGGAGAGGCATGCTCTGGGCTCCAACAGTACTAAATATAGAGCAGGCCCTATTAATACACAAAGAAAATACCCAAGGGTTTAAAGAATTCTGAAGAATGCCAAGAGTGATCAAGATTTCTACAACAAAGAATAAGCCTAATTACTTCTATCTGCTCCATCTGCATAAAGTTTTAAAGACATTTATTACTTAATCTTCCAGTCAAATAAAAGTAGAGCTCTACAACTTCAATAATCTGCTACAATAAAGCCTCTTTTTTTCTACTATGATGACTAAGAAGCATGTGTTTACACCTGAGAGAAAGAAGCCAGTGTGGTTTCTTTCAGCCAGTCCTTCGCAAGCTGCCTCTCACATAGGTACCACCTTCCTACTGTGAATGGTCTTCTCTGGTGTCACTCTTTTTAACATCTATTTTACTCAAAACTGCTGTGGAGCACAACAAGAGCTTTGAAATCAAACTATAATGCAAGGAGATCAAACCAGTCAATCCTAAAGGAACTCAAGCTGAACATTCATTGTAAGGACTGATGCTGAAGCCTCCAATACTTTGGCCACCTGATGTGTAAAGCCAACTTACTGGAAAAAAAACCCCTGATGCTGGGAAAGATTGAGGGCAGAAGGGGGAGACAGAGGATGAGATGGTTGGATGGCATCACCGACTCAATGGACACGAGTTTGAGCAAACTCTGAGAGACAGTGAAAAACAGGGAAGCCTGGCATGCTGCAGTCCATGGGGCCGCAGAGCAGGACACGACTCAGCAACTGAGCAAACAACAAATAACAGACTACACTAAATAAAAGCACTGTTCTTAGGAAAACTGGGTAACTGATATTTCAAGCATAGAACAATCAGTAAGTTCAGGAACTACCCCGAATAAACAATTTCCAATGCTACACATTTTTCTGTGTGTCATACACATGCCTCTATTACACCATGCCTCTATTACACTTTCAGCCAAAAGAAAAATGTCTAAAGTCAATCAAAAGACTCCTGACACACAAATAACTATTAACAGCTCCTCAAGAGTAATCCTGGCAGCATCTATTCCACACACAATAGTTTACATTTTTGATACAAAGAGAAAATCAGTGGGGCCTGTGATCAGGTGGATTCCTGCAAGCAGCAGGCACTGGCTGTCCTCTGGGTTTATTCACACATGCACCCTCCACCAGAATCCCTCCTCATACCACCCCCACCCCAGCCTCTGCCTGGAAGAAAGAACCGGGGGCGCCTGGTGGAACTCCTCAGAGTGCTATACGCTCCCCTGGAATTCAGTCCACAGCATGGAATAACACTTATCCACATCAGATTACATTCACTGATCCGGTCCACCACCCCAGCTGGACTAGAGATCCCAGAAAAAGAGAAGGCCTTATTTTTTCTGTACCTCTAAGGCCCAGAGCTGCACTCACTAATTTGCATTTGTTCAAATTTAAAACAGAGACGAGACTAGTCACATCTTCAGAGTGGCATCTCACTGCTTCACAGGCTCCCGATGGAACAAACACTTACGGAGCATGTGCTCTGAGCCCGCAGTCAGGTGCCAGGCCTGGCGGGACGAGTACTTTGCAGCAGCAACCAGAACTAGGTAAACACCCAGGAACCAGCTCAACTCACCCATTAAGAAACCCACACCCCTGGGCCCAAACACTTGGAAAAAAGGGTCATATTTTAAGATGTAGACATCTTATAATTGGTATTTAAGAAACATCTTATTTCTTCTTCCCTACTAAATGATACAGTGGGTAAGCTTAAAGGGGGAGAGAAAGGAGAGGCGTTGTAACCCAATTAACTACAATTTACATTTCCTGAAAGCAGGGACTATTTCTTAGATGTCTGCATCCCTCTATAAAGGGTGAAAGAGGGGGGAAAAAACCCTTTTCCTCCAGAGACATATAATAAATAGCTACAGATCTTACTCACCACATTTTAATGCATTATAATACACAACTTTCATCAGATGAGGACAAAGAAAGCTCTCCATGAACAGTAACCAGGAGGAAAGCATTTGACTCTCTTTACCTTCCCCATGGCCTTGAATGGAGGCTATTTAGCAGCACAGATACAAAGTGGTCCTAATGTACTCTGTCTGCAAATTCCATATTCACTGTCAAGACGGCACAGCTAAGTATGTGTAATGATTAACGACAGTGAAATAACTAGTGAAGATCAATCGTTCGTATGCTATAAATGTTACTTATAATAAAAATTGCTGTCATTTCTGCTTCAACCAAACTAACACAAAATATTCACAAAGACTTTAAAAAGCTTAGCTACCTCATTCACAGAAAGCCGAAAGTGCTTAGAAAGACAATTAAAATCCAACCGTTAGACATTCCTTTTAGATAGGAATGCATACCCTGAAGACAACTTAGAAATGAAATGTTACATTACAGCACAAAAACAGCCTCTGAATTATACAAACGGTAGAATTGAATTTCCTTCAAGTTTGAACAGATCTATAGGTTTAATCTTGGCAAGTCCCGTTTGAGTAAAATTAAAGAAAACTATCGGTGATTATGTGTAGCAGTTTAGAGAGGCCTAACATACTATCTGTACACACATCTTACAGTTAATTCATCAGTGGGACCTCCTACTGAAAAGGAAACTAACTGCTTGTCACTATAACACTACAACTAAGAATTTCATCCTTGTTAAAAGATTTACTCTAATACCTGAGATTTAATTAAAAATTGGCACACGTGCTTTAGAGTAGTTTAACCACCGTCACTGAGGAAAACTATTAGAACACACACAAGTTCAGAGATTAAAATAACAACTACTGGTTGTTATTTAAAACCATAAACCTCTTACTGATCTGACTGCATTAGGAAGAACCAAAACAGAAAATAAAAACATCTCTAGCTCCTATCAGAAACAGTCTGCAGAGAAGTCTGAAACTCACTTTTGCAGACCTCAAAACTCTCCTTTATACACTGTCTTCCCCTCTTCCGTCACAATGAGGACTCTCAAGCTGTCCCTGAGACAGAGCTGCAGGGCTGGCAAACTTTTCCTGAAAAGGGCCAGAGAGTAAACATTTCAGGCTGTGAGGACCTGATAACTCTGTCCCAACTGCTCCGCTGCTACAGGGTTAGGGCAGTCAGAGACAGCTTCCAAATGAACACACACAGCTGTGTTCTAGTGAAAATCTTCCTATGGACGCTGGGATTTAGAGCTCACATCATCTTCACGTATCATGGAATTCTATTCATTTATTTTCCCCTACCATTAAAAATGTAAAAATCAGTCTTAACTCAAAAACTATTAACATAAAAAAAACAAACAAACAAACAAACCAGGTGGCGGGTCAGTTTTGGCCCACAGATCGAAATTTGGCTCTGATCCCAGCTCTGAAGGGTTTCAAATAAATCTCCTCTCCTCATCCCCCCAAAACTCCTGTCTCCTCCTCCAGTGTCCTCACCATACTCAAAACGCATCTCTCATCAGAACAGACTCTCCCATGCATTATACCAAGGAAAGCAAGCAAAGAGAAGGCGGGATGCCCAGAAGTAGACAGGGTGTCCAGGAAAGAACTGCACACAGAGAAACCTGGCGGATGGCAGGGCTGGCACTAAAGGTCCCAGGGAGAAGGCCAGACTATTCTAGAAAAGGTGCTGGAACAACTATCAGTCATATGGGAAAAAAAAACAGAATCGGAGCCTTAAGTAAAAAGTATCTCTATTTGGATTCAGGAATATATGTTAGACACAGGCTCTGCCACTGAAAGGATCACCCACCTGATGAGAAGCCAGGGAGGGTTCTGATCAGAGGAGTGACCTGCTTTCACTTTTAAAGGATCCCTCTGCTATTCTGTAAACAACTGATCACAGCAAAAGAAAGAAAAGATACATGGAGATCAGTTAGGACACTCTTCCAGGATGCAGCTGGGAGAGGAGGGGACAGCAGCAGACATAATAAGCAGAGACCAGACTCTGAATATATTCTGAAGATGGAGTCAATGAGATTTGATGAGAAATTATTATGAGGGGCATCTGAGGAAGCAGAGTCAAGGATAGTGCCAAACTCTGACCCAACTCTGGACTAAGCAACAAATGGATGGATATATATGCTTTTTACTGAACTGGAGAAGACTGCTGTAAAGATATTGGGGGAGGAGGGATATCAGGAGTTCAGTTTGAGATTTGTTACATCTGAAATGCCTATTAGAAATACAAGCAGAAATGTGGCATAGGCAGATGAACATACAAGTCTAAACATCAGGAGAAACGTCCAGCTACAGATAGTGTTAGAGCTATCACCACCTCTAACCAAACCCAAAGACTGAAGGCAATTGTCACGACAGCACAGGTAGGTGGGGAGAATTCTGAGGGACTGAGCACTGGACCTCAGAGGGAACAGCCAATAAAAGTGAAGAATCAGAAAGGGTGGGGTTCTAGAAGCCAAATGAAGACAGTGTTCCAAGGAGAAAGAAGTGATGAGTGACATCAACCAGCAGAGATGAGGATTTTAGGTGAAGACCAAGGGCTTGGCAATGTGGAATGGGTTCAAGAGAAAGGGGAAACTGTAGCAGATGAATACAAAAAACCCTTAGAGAAGTTTATATAAACGGGAGAAAAAAATGAGGGAAATGGGGGAGAGATTCTTCTTAGGATGGGAAAAATTACAGCAGATTCAGCAACTGATGAGAATAATCCAATAGAAAGGGTAAAACGGATGATTTAAGAAAGGGGGGGGTGAGGTAAGAGAATTGTTGGAGCAACGTATGCAAAAGGGAGAGGAGTATATGCAGACCTGAGGGGGGCTGGCATGTGGAGAAGGGCAGTTCACCCACAGTACCTAAAGAAAGGCGAACTATGGGGGCAGACAGAGGCAGCAGGGTGGAGAGGAAAGCGGGAATTCCTGGAAACACAGGAAGCTGAGAATGAGGATGAGGGAGGACCAGTGGAGACTGAGGGAGAGCAAAAGGCATAAGCCAGCTGACGAGCGGAAGGGTCAAATGGACCAGAACAATGGCACTAAATCCCTACACAAGGTCAGTGATCATCAGTTACAGAAAGACCAATCAGTATGTTGTTGCGTTTTTCTCCATCCTTGTTCAGTTATTTGGGTACAAGTGGAAAAGCAGCAGCAAGTTGGATTTAACTAGAGCTAGAGTTTTACCAGCAAAGTGTAACAAAGGAGAGGAGGCAAGGGAAGTGAAATGCTTTATCACTGACCCATAGGTCTAACCTGGATTTAAGGGATACGTGACTATAAGGAACAGAAGGGACAGAGAATAGGAAGGAGTAGGATCAACAGACTGCATGTCCAGCGGGGAGCTAAAGACTTGATGGAGTAGGGGACCCAGAGAGAGACAAGACAGAACAGGCAGTCAGAGCAGGACTCTTGGAATCAAGACTGCGGGGGGCATGCAGCCATGGTTAATCACAAGGCCTAGGTAGCACACGGCAATGTGTGGTTAGACAGGGGGAAGCGGGGGAGGTGAGAGGTGTTCAAAGTCAAGAAATAAAAGGTCAGGGTAATGAAAGGATCATCTGTGTAAACACTACAATAGCCAAGACTTGAGACGGGATAAGCAATGCAGTCAACAGTGATCCAGTTAGATTCTTCAAGGGATGACAGAGTGACCACCTGAACTTTTAACAGTAGAAGAGATTGTCTATGAGCTATATACTCTGATGGCATGACATGGAAAGTTGCAGGGATTATGGAGGAAAAAGTTCTGAAAGCAGCAATGACAGTTACCTTCACACCTACACACCTTCAAGCTAAGCAATACACAGGATATAGGAGAACACAGCCCACTTGAAGGACTTTCTGGGAAAGGTTTGTCCTTAGAAGTGAGCCCTATTTCACCTAGATCAAGAAGATGACAAGAATGTCCAGAGAGGTTGAAGACACAGGGAATTTTGCACATGGTGGTGGTTTAGTCACTCAGTCGTGTCAACCCCATGGACGTAGCCCACCAGGCCCCTCTGTCCATGGGGATTCTCCAGGTAACAATACTGTAGTGGGTTGCCATTTCCTACTGCAGGGGATCTTCTGACGCAGGGATCGAACCCAGGTTTCCTGCATTGCAGACAGTCTCCTACATTGCTGGCAGATTGTTTACTGCCTGAGCCATCAGGAAAGCGCCCTGCACATGGGAAGGGTTTTAAAAGTTGAGGAGTCAGAAAGGTTCTATACAAAGCCTTAAGGGAACCAGTGAGTAATAGAAAACCTAGTTTCCTATATTAATTAGAAAATCAGCTTGTAAATGTGTAGTAAAAACCCTGCTGAGATTTTACTTTGAATGGCACCGAAACCACAGATCAACTTGGGGACAAGTGATGTCTCTGTGTTACCGAGTTTTCCTATCATATCACTGTATAACCATCTAATCTCTTTTGATAGTTTTATAATATTCTCAGTGAGGATGACAGCCACTTGTACTTAGCTGTGCTTATGCCGTGCCCAGCACCTTGCTAAGCACTACATACACACACTCCTCCATGGCAATCGTAAGTGGATCCCTCACTTACAAACTGTCTTTGTTACCAAATGCAAGTCTGCATTCCCAATGCACAGAGAGGCCAGGCAATACCAAACTGTCAGAGTTTGGAGCAGAGAGAGGTTTATTGAGGGCAATGCAAGAAAATGGGTGGCTCACGCCTTAACAACCCCAAGTTTTCAGCAAAGCCCTTTTCTAGGAAAGGTGAGGGAGGGCCACAGTCAGTTGTTGCAACCTTCTTGGTGTCAGGTCACAGTCAGGAGCGATGCTCCTGTAAATCTACCAAACGAACGTTATTCTCTGTTCTGCCAAGAAAAGACAAGGTCCCAAGACACAACTTTCATCCTTCCTGGTCCTGGCTAAGAGAAGGCGCCCCAGTGGGCCCCAGTGGAACCAGGACCACTAACAGTAGCTCACTGACAACTGGTTGCTTGTGGGAGGGTCTCACTGCAGCCCCGACCAAGGGCCGAGAGGGAACCGGGCCCACGAACGGGTGCCCGCTGACAGCTGGCTGCTTGGGAGCGGGCCCCCTGCGGCACCGCAACAGTAACCGGCTCCTGGTGAGGGGGTGCAGGTCACCTGTGCACAGCAGCAGCCCCGGCTAAGGTCTGCGCTCAGTCACGCTCCATTCCACTCTTAGCTCTAATGGGACTTCTCTGGGCTTGTGGCCGTCAGAAGCTGACTCAGCCTGCAGTGGGCCCCAGGGTTCCTCTGCCTTTGAATGAGTGTCCTTGCCCACAGTCCAGTGACCACACCCTCTGGTCCAGGGACCACTACAAAAGACTAGGAGGATGAAAAGAGCTAAGAAACTCTCCTCTGAGGGCACAGTGGGTCACCATTCTAACCTTATTTATTTTGATTTGCTGGCTCAAACTTCTTCCTGTCTGCTTTGTCCATTTAAGATAATTGGATGTGCAGGGTGGCTCACACTGACCACATCTGTATTTTGAAGCTGAGTCAGAACACCTTACCGAGTGGTTCCGTGTGGCAGTCCAGCTCATGGCACAGGTAAAAATAAAGGGAACTGTCACCACACTCCACACAGTTCTGTTTATAGTGCTACATAATTGACGTTCTCTCTCAGCACAGCTGATCTGAGTCATGGTTGAGTCAAGACAGCATTCGGCCCTTCACTAAGCTGACAACTCATGGGGGTCTGAAGGGGGCTTGTTCTGTGTTGTGGGTTTTGTTTGTTTGTTTCGGCTGTTGTCTTTGATGCAGCCAAAGACTTGCTGGCCAGAGGCTCAGTTGTCTTTGGAGAAAGCCTATATGAGCCTGTGTACACGCAGATGACTGGTTTATTCCGAGTTCTACATTATGCCGGCCTCTCAAGTGCTCAACAGTCCTTTTCCCTATGAATGTTAGTCTACATCTTGATGCAAGCAATGAGGGACACCAAAACATTTCTGACCTCTACGACCCTCTGTCACATCTGATGCTTTATACCTCTCTTGCCAGAGCCCTTCCTATGCTGGCTCCAGGAAATTAACTATTTAAGGAAGTAATAAAAACACAACCAAGGGGTCATTCTGTGCTAGGTATTAAAGGAGGCCCTGAGGACACAGAGGTTTAAGAAGCCTGCCCTCAGGTTTGGGCTCATTCCAGTGGATAGGTAGGTGATTAAGTGATTACAATACCCTACTGCAATTCTCTGAAAGAGGTAAGAGGAACATAAGGCAGAAGCACCCAGGTCATAAGGCAGAAGATCTAAGGTCATCTGCAACTCAACTGCAGCACAATGGAGACCACTCCACCTTGCGGTGATCAGAGCTGCCATGGGACAATCAGTATCAGGACAGGGAGACTGGCATCCGGAGAGAGAAGGAAAGAGCCAGACTCAGTGCAGCCTTGGGCTTCCCAGATGGCTTAGCGGTAAAGACTCTGCCTGCCAGGAGGTGAAGGAGACCCGGGTTCAATCCCTGAGTCAGTAAGAGCTCCTGGATGAAGGACACGGCAGCCCTCTACCGTACTCTCGCCTGGAGAATCCCACGGATAGAGGAGCCTGGTGGGTTGCAGTCCGTGGGGTCGCAGAGAGTCAGACACGACTGACCACACACAAGCAGTGCAGCTCTCCGTGTGGGTCACATGCAAAGCTGTGCATCTCCAACATTACGAGGGAGCCAGGAACTTCAGAGACGGGACCTGGCCCACGACGCTGGCCAGCATGGTGACCAGTTACACGAGCTCCCAGTATCACTAGGATACAAATAATCAATAGAAGGAAGGCCTGACCTTAGGCTGGGGTCACTGGGGAAGAAGGCAGAGGAAAGGGCAACATGATTATATAGGGAACAGTGAGCCCTGAAAGGCAGAAAACACAACAAATCTCTCAAGGTGAACCAGCAAACTAAAAGTTCACAGACAAAATCTAACCCTAGGAAAATCCGGCCTTTCCTCAGCACTCTGTGACAACCCTTCTGAGTGTGTGCTTCCCAACCTTGCAACTCTAGACTGTGCTGGGCCAAGCCCGAGTCGAGGACACAGAACTCCATCAGGGAGCACAGAAAGGGATCGGGGTGCCTCAGAGTAGGCCCACAGAACAAGCACTTTGAGATTCTCAAGCTAGCAAACCAGCAGGCAAAGAAGACGAGCTGACACCGGAGGGGTAACGCCCCTGATTAGCATGCAGAGCCAGGGCTGCGATGACACGCAGGGGGCAGGGAGGAGTGGGTCTGAACTCAGGGTTGGATGGGCTGTCTGTTGGCTCCTCTGTGTCCAGGGATAACAATGAACAGGCAGCAGCAGCAACCACACGCTGACAAGAGCAAGGCCACCCAGGGCTCAGCCCCCTCGGCATCAGAGCCCAGGGACATGCTGGAGAGTCGGGGAAGATCAGACTGGAAGCTGGAGTCGGGAGCTGACTGTCCACTAACGGCCTCAAGACAGGCTGCACCAGAGGGACTGGACTCACTGCTCCAACACACCTGTGAGGGCTCTTCTTTAAGACTCCGAATAGCTTTGGCCTCCAAGAGTCCGAGACTGAGTGGACAGTGTCAGGCAAGAGGTCTCAGGAGAAGAGCAGACTGTAGTAAACGCTCGTGGTGTCCCTCATCGCACACCCTTGGCCCATCTAGTTAATGACCCAAGGGGCAATTCTCACGACCCCTGTGCTCAGACAATTCAGAGGTGCCTCCCCCAGGGATCCTCAGCGGGGTTGAGCCCCAGCTGCCTGCAACAGCCGCCACTGAATATGGCATCCTTACGTCAGCTATCTCTCCTTCCACACCTAGCTTCCCCTCTCTCACACTTCCGATTGCTGGGGCTTGCCTACCGTTAAATTACTTCACCCAAGTTCCTACCTCAAATTCTACTTTGGAGAAAAAACCCAACAGCTCAGGTATACAAGGAGGCATTTATAAAGATGGTCTCTACAGTGCTGTTGGAGTTACCAAAAATTAAGACAAATCCAAATGCCCAACAGTAAGAAAAGGTACATAAATGATGATGTAATCTTATAGCCGTACACTCTACAACAGTTGAAGCTAACGATCTAGCTCTCTATATGTGAACACTGGTAGCACTTGAAAACAGAGCAAAGATTAAAGATGCAAACTGAAGAGTATCGAGCATATAACATACCATGTAACATGTAGACGGGAGGGAGGAATGAGACTGGAAAGTGAAACAAAGAGCCCCTACTCACCACATCCACCGCCGGGTAGTCATACCCTTCTGTGGCAGCAGGGCAAAGGCCAACAGTTTTGCTAAGAGAACGCACTGGTCAGAGTACACACTCTCCTCCGACAACACGAGAGAAGACCCTACACATGGACATCACCAGACGGTCAATACCGAAATCGGACTGATTATATTCTTTGCAGACAAAGATGGAGAAGCTCTATACAGTCAGCAAAAACAAGACCAGGAGCTGACTGTGGCTCCGATCATGAACGCCTTATTGCCAAATTCACAGTTAAATTGAAGAAAGTGGGAAAACCACTAGACCATTCAGGTACAACCTAAATCAAATCCCTTATGATTATACAGTGGAAGTGACAAATAAATTCAAGGGATTAGACCTGACAGACAGAGAGTCTGAAGAACGATGGACGGAGGTTCATGACATTGTACAGGAAGCAGTGATCAAGACCCAAGAAAAAGAAATGCAAAAAGGCAAAATGTTTGTCTGACGAGGCCTTACAAATAGCTGAGAAAAGAAGAGAAGCAAAAAGCAAATGAGAAAAGGAAAAATATACCCATTTGAATGCAGAGTTCCAAAGAATAGCAAGGAGAGATAAGAAAGCCTTCCTCAGTGATCAATGCAAAGAAAGAAGAGAAAAACCATTGAATGGGAAAGACCAGAAATCTCTTCGAGAAAATCAGAAATACCAAGGGAATATTTACTGCAAAGATGGGCTCAATAAAGGACAGAAATGGTATGGACCTAACAGAAGCAGAAGATATTAAGAAGAGGTGGCAAGAATACAAAGAACTCCACAAAAAAGATCTTCATAACCCAGATAACCATGATGGTGTGATCACTCACCTAGAACCAGACATCCTGGAATTCAAAGTCAAGTGGGCCTTAGGAAGCATCACTATGAACAAAGCTATGTAGAGGTGATGGAATTCCAACTGAACTATTTCAAATCTTAAGAGATGATGCTGTGAAAGTGCTGCACTCAATATGCCCGCAAATTTGGAAAACTCAGCAGTGGCCACAGGACTGGAAAAGGTCAGATTTCATTCCAATCCCAAAGAAAGGCAATGCCAAAGAATGTTCAAAGGACCACACAACTGCACTCAGTTCAGTTCAGTTCAGTTGCTCAGTCGTGTCCGACTCCTTGTGACCCCATGAACAGCAGCACGGCAGGCCTCCCTGTCCATCACCAACTCCCAGAGTCCACCCAAACTCATGTCCACTGAGTCAGTGATGCCATCCAACCAGCTCATCCTCTGATGTCCCATTCTTCTCTCGCCTTCAATCTTTGCCAACATCAGGGTCTTTTCAAATGAGTCAGCTCTTTCCATCAGGTGGCCAAAGTATTGGAGTTTCACCTTCAACATCAGTCCTTCCAATGAATATTCAGGACTGATTTCCTTTAGGATGGACTGGTTGGATCTCCTTGCTGTCCAAGGGACTCTCAAGAGTCTTCTCCAACACCACAGTTCAAAAGTATCCATTCTTCGGCACTCAGCATTCTTTATGGTCCAATTCTCACATTCATACATGACTGCTGAAAAAACCATAGCTTTGACTAGATGGACCTTTGTTGGTAAAGTAATGTCGCTGCTTTGTAATATGCTGGCTAGGTTGGTCATAACTTTTCTTCTAAGGAGCAACCGTCTTTTAATTTCATGGCTGTAGTCACCATCTGCAGTGATTTTGAAGCCCAGAAAAATAAAAGTCTGTCACTGTTTCCAACGTTTACCCATCTATTTGCCACGAAGTTATGGGACCAGAGGCCATGATCTTAGTTTTCTGAATGTTGAGTTTTAAGTCAACTTGTTCGCTCTCCTCTTTCACTTTCATCAAGAGGCTCTTTAGTTCTTCTTCACTTTCTGCCATAAGGGTGGTGTCGTCTGCATATCTGAGATTATTAATATTTCTCCCGGCAATCTTGATTCCAGCT